TGTTCTTCCCTTTTTTTATCCAATTACCTAGAATGATTTCTTTATTTTGCCTCCTAAAATGATTACTTATGCCCTTAAATTTGATTTTATATATTTATATTTATATATATGGTATATCTTTTAAGCAGATCGTTTTTCTGTCTTGAATTTGTGCACTTTCACTGAGTTCTAACATTTTTTCCTATTCCAAATCTCATTTAGTTCTGCTTTGAGTTTTGATTTTAAAACTGATTCTTGTTTGTCATCATTAGTTTTCTGTTCTGTGGTTTCTAAATTGAGCATTTTTCCTCTACCATTTGAATTCTTTTTTATACAACTATTTTACCAATTGGTTTCTATGTTAAATTTGTACACTATGTTTTACCACTGTAAATTTATTTGTCTAAATAAACAGAATATTTTATTTTATTTTTGCTCGGTATTAATTTTTTGAAGTAGTTGGTAATTTTCTTTCTCTACCATCCTCAGCTACTTGTATTTATATTTATATATCTGTCAAGCCCCCTCCATTGGAGTCTGAATTTGTGGCGGAAAATGAGCTGGAACAAGAACTGACAGCGAGTGAGAGGGCAGCTCCGTTGGCCTTGGAGGAAACTGGGGAAGGGCAGAGGCAGTCCAGACAAGGTTGTTCGGAATTAGTAAAGTGTTCAGGCAGGGAGGAATAGAGGTAGGATGAACAGGAGAGACAGAGGTCAGACAAGGAGCAAGAACCACCCCTTCCTGATGCAAGGGCTCCGAGAGTGCAGAGAAGGCGTGATCAGTGCAGACAGAGCAGGCCACTTGTGAGGAGAGTGCCCCGCCCAGCTTCACCAGGCACACCTGGGGAATGAGACTTAAGGAGACGCCATGGGGAGGGGCATTTGTCAGGAACAAACGCTGAGTTCCTGAAGTGTTGTGTGCCGATGTTTGAACTTGCCAAGAGTCCTTGCATTCCTTGTTGGCATTTTGGACTAATTATCTGGATCTTTTGCTCCTTGAACTCCTGCTCTTGTTTTGCCAAATACATTTGGGATTTATTGCCATGTAGCCTTGGTGAAGACAGTGCTGGGCTGGACTAATTGCAGCCAGAGGCTGCTTGAGGTGGTGTGGGGAGTTTGTTATCTCTCTGGTCTGGGACTTGCCAGAAACATGGGAGGGTTTGGGGAGATTTGGAGCAATAAAGGGGCAGTTTGAACTGCCAGCTGTTTGTGTTATCTCTATGTCAGATCCTGGGTCATCACAATATCTGTATATTGATTTTAATGATATTTGTCCATGTTGTTTTCTCTTTTACTTTTCTTAAATGTTTTCAGGTCACTGTAACTGAATGTGTGTGTGTGTGTAGATGGTTCCTTAAAATAGTGTATCTAGCATTTTGGGATTTTTATGTTATTGTCCAATGGAATGAATGCAATTATATAATTTTCATCGATTATTTGTTTTCATTATTGAATTTATATCACATGTTTTAAAAAATTTAAGACAGCCTTCATAGTTTTCTTTCATCCCATTTTCATTCCACAACACTACGTTGTGATATCAGTTAGCTGAGAAAGATTGCCTAGTGCAAAATCATCCAATAAAATATTATGGTAGAGAGTTGACTTGAACCCGAGTGCCAGTCCAGAATTTTTAGAACTACCTCTCACTGTCTTCAGTACAGATTGCCTTTCACTAAAAATAGACTCAAAGAAATTAGTGACGTTTTGGTCATAACTTATTTTGTCCTTGTAATGTCAATGCCTCTACTCTGAGAAACATTAAGTTAAGTTTTTGTTTCCCATCCTGACCACCTCATGACCGTCTCCTCATATTTTCAAACTATATCTTTTGCAGATACATTTTTTTCTTGTTTTTCCTTCTAGCTTTGTAATTTTTAAAATGTTATTACAACACCTGCTTTATATTTTGTATTCGGTGTACTTTTTTGGACAGTTTCCAAAATTACTTTCATCAGTAGAACACATTATAGCACAGTTATCAAAACATGAGGCAGTTAAAGCATACAATGACTGTGGCCAGCTCTATGTTCCAGACCTGACCTTCCAAAAATACAGGTCTTTGACTCCAGACCACCCAGATTGCATGTCTGGCCTTTTAAGAGAATACTACTACAGACTGAACAGTTAGAAATACCACCTGAGCCGTGTCTCAGTCTATCATGCCTGGATCAAGTATCAAGTGGTTCAATGAAGTTTGGTTTCTTACAGGTCCTGGCAGCAATTCAGGACTTACATGTCCATCTTGGTATCTAGTATCCTTTTTAAGAGACGGGGGGGGGGGGGGGGGGGGGGGGGGGGGGGGGGGCGGGGAGCTGAGACTGATTGTTATGTGGGTATCTTGTACGTTGCTATCATATGTCATTCCTAATACCATTGTAATCATTGTATATTTTTATAACTTTCAGTTGTCAAATTTACAGAAGTTTTACTAGTTTGAACTCTACACATGTAGGTCTGGAAAAATTGTCACTGTGCTATCCTAGAAGTAAAAAGGTTCAATAGGCAGTTGTAGGCTTCCTACTGTGTGTGTGTGTGTGTGTGTGTGTGTGTGTGTGTGTGTGAAATTGGCCTATTGTATGGATAGTTCCACTAGAGAGGTGCAGCTGAGAGATCTCAGATGTGTTGGGAAGAGAAAAGAGGTTTTTCTGACACTATAGAATGCAAAGGATGGAAGGAAAGATCCTTAAATGAAGTCTAAAATAAAATTAGTAGGAGTTACAGTAGGTTGCATCCAATTCTGGAAAAAATGTTTCAGGAAATAAAAAATAGGGTAAAGACATGTTCCACTTATATTAAAGGAAGGAAAATTCTATACAGGTAGTATTAGTATTTGACCTATGACCATAGAGGAGGCCGTAATTTTGGCAGCTAAGCTGTTGAGTGAACTTTGCCCCATATTGTGACCTTTCTTGTCAGAGTTGTTAAGTGAATCACTGCAGTTGTTAAGTTAATAACACGGTTGATGAGTGAATCTGGCTTCTCCACTGATTTCGCTTGTCAGAAGGCCACATGATTCTGAGACAATGCTAGCGTCAAATATATGAACCAGTTGTCTGAATTTTGATTGTGTGACCACAGAGAATGCTGCAATGGTCACAAGTATGAAAAATGGTCATAAGTCACTTTTTTCAGTGCCATTGTAACTTTGAATTGTCACTGAGCAAATGGTGGTAAATTGAGGACTACTCGGTATCTGAAATGTCTGTGATTCTGAGAAAAGCTACACAGAGCTATCTGGGAAGGGTTGACCTTGTCCAGGATTCAGTATGGAATGTCAGAATGTTTTTGAATCTTTTGGAAATAAGTCTCATACCCACCATATTTAATATGTAAGAAAAGAGCAAAGGAAAGTCCTACCTACATTTGACTTCAAAAGAGAAGACAATTGAAAGATGATGAGTCTGTAAAAAAGAACATTGAAAAGGGGAAGTGAACACAGTCATATCTCTTCAGAATATTTGAAGTCACTTAGAAACCTAGTGGCAGAAACTTAACTAGAATACATTTCACAGAGCAGAAAATATACCACCGAGTTGAAACTCTGATCTGTCTCATAACATAAAGAAAGAAAGTAACAGGGAAAAAGAAACACTTTCAAGGGGACTTGAAGAGAAATTTTACCCAGATAAAAGGGATATAAAAAGTGACATACATTTGCACAGAAGACATTATATGAAAGAAGGGTTTCAAACATTGATATTGAGGAATAAACTGTTGATAATATTATGTCTTTAAAAAAACAACAACAAATTATTCAAAAATTAGGTGGGTAGAAGAGGGAGAGAGAAAGCTGAACAATTGCAGAGATGAACAGCCTTGGAATAGATGAAATCTCAGAGTTTTTGTTTTTATATATATATATATATACATATATACATATACATATATACATATATACATACATACATACACACACAGACAGACAGACAGATAGATAGATAGATAGATAGATATAGTACAGTAGTGAGATGACATTGCAAACTGCTTGGAGCTGGAAGTTTCTGGAGTTTTCTTTTCCACAACTTTTTTAAAATACTGTATATTTTCCCCTTTAAAAATAGCAAGAAATAATACCACAAAGTATGATCAGAATAATTCTGGAGTCTATGGAAAATAGGTGGTGGAGCTTATAGATGGCCTTGGGTCTCTGGCTATTTACCCTAGCCATTTATTTATTGATTTGATTTGTATGGCTGCCCATCTCGCGTGAGCAACTCTGCGCAACTCACAGTTTGGATAATGAATCTCTGTTCTTGATCTAACAGTAAGGCCAAGCTTTCTATTCTGAGATAGTAGAGTCCCCTGAAGCTAGCCTTGTTCCTACTTTTCAAGAGGTATGAGGTCAAGTAGAATTAGACTCCTATGGGAACTGTAAATATTGGAAAAAACCTCAGCTGATACTGTATACCAGTAGCAGGTAACGGGGTTTTTTTGCTAGAGAAAACAAACACTTTTCTCGCCCCCACTCCCCCCCCCCAGTTGTTTAGACTCCAAGGATATGTCTGGAAACAGAGTAATATGATCAGGGATGGGATCAAGTGTTTTCAGTCAGTTTTGTTTGATTAGGGGTTTCAAAGGGAGAAAGGATTTATTAAGCCCTTTTGAAGGTTAAAATGCTCATGTGAAAAATCACTAAAATTTCTGCAGCTGGAAGTCAGCGGTTTTGCCACCAGCATTTAATGACACAGTCTGTGGGTGTTTGGGGGATTAGGAGCTTGCATGTGACCCATAAACTGCAGATTACCCACCCGTTCTGAACTCAACGGGGATTTTTATTGCAAATGTGGAAGATACCACATACCTCAAACCACTGGCGGTTCTTTTTTCTCAAGCATGCAAGCTACTGAAGCTGCTATGGTGCAAACTTGAAAAGTATGCCATTATAACATCTGGAGTCAGTCCAAAGAGCTGAGCTGTCTTTATCCAAATCACCACTTTAAATGCACTTTCTTTTTATATGTGACCACAATCATATGCTTGCAACTTGTTGCTCACTAACTTTTTCTTTCTCATCCATAGGCGGAAATTGTCAAGAGGCTGAATGCCATATGTGCCCAGGTCATTCCGTTCTTATCCCAGGAGGTAAGGGTGGTTGTTTACGTGTGCTGACCTCAAATTATAGGGAATTGCTTTAACTAAAGAGGAGTCAAGGGCTATCGGGCAACACAAAGCTTGAAAGTCTTTATATTTCACTTTCCTGTGGGTTTCACTCTTTGTCCGCCCCATTGGGTTAATATTAACTTGGTCGTTGTGTGGACGCATGAAGCAATTTTAAATTGTGATCTACCTTATTTGTGCCAGCAGCATCTCTGCCTTTAGTACTTAGCACAAAAGCAAAAGCAAGCAGGACTCGGGATTCAGTTTGTGACAGCAGCCAGCTGGGTGGCTCTGGAAGCTGCAGGCAGGACAAGAAAATTATAGGCAATCTTTTTACAGGAGTTGTTGACCTGGTGCCCTTCAGATGTTTTGGATTACAACTTCCACCAGCTCTAGTCAGCAATGCCAATGGGATAGTAGGAGTTGTAATCTTAAAATATACCGTCTGCCTTATTTTCCCCCTTGACAAGAAATAAGTGGAGCTATACTGATAAGGAAGACTTTATCAAGCTATATAGGAAAAAGCCACTGACAAAGCTGCCCTCCTTGCATAGATCTACCCTTTGTTCTCTTTCCTTTAAATCTGCCTTAGTTGCTAACTTCATAATATGAGAAGGCCAATTTTGACTTGTAAAACCAGTTGAAAACAGCTGCATCCCACAGTGCTTCATCCTGCTGCAATGCCAGTTAGGTTCAGGCTACTTTATACAAATGTTTGCCTGTCATGCCAGTACATTGGTGCTCAAAAATATGAGCCTGTCAAGCTGGTATCTAATAGGAGATATTGAAAAATTGCTAGAAAGCTGTGATTTATGTAGCCTTCTTGGCAGAAAATATGATGCTCTAGGCAATAAGCAGATTAATACAGGTGTGTCCTTCTCTATTCACCTCTTCCCCAAAGCCTCCCCACTCCTCCCCTCCCTCCCACAATTCTTCATATCAAGAAAAAGTTTTGCTTTGGGGAGGGGGAAAGAAGCAAGAGTAATTTTTCAGGCAAGGAGTGCTGAATATTCTGTTTTTGATGCTAAACGGAACTTCTTGGTCTACGTTTCTTGGAACTTAGTTTACTCATAAGGTCTATCCTGAGTCAGTATTTTTTATCTGTTTCCAATTAATAGAGCTTGAGTTTCTGGTAAAAAAGGCTAATAGTCCTTTGAATGAGTTTGTATCTAATCTGTAATGTGAAACATGCTAGTAGTTAAGAATACTAAACATTCTCTTCTAGATTTGTAGTTTGTTTACTTACATTGGTGATTGCAGCTTTTGAATGTTTCTCTCTGGAATTCTGAGGCTATATCTCTTTGCCCATTTTTAAGTAGTATCCCAATTTACGAAATCAATTTTTCTTCCACGTATAAGCAACAGAGCAAACTTGAAAATGGGGGGGGGGGCAGTATTTATTGATTTATCCACTAAAATTACAAATACACCTGCAGCAGTTGATCAACAATACAAAGTGTCTTCTTGTATTGCTTGATCTTATTGATTTCCTAAACAGGTATTTAAGGATAAATCTCTGCATCTTGGGAATCTCTTGGGTGCTAATTATATAAGCAATGCTGTGCTTCCCTTTCCCCCGCACCCCCCCCATCTTCCAATTTTCATACATCCTGTCATATACTTGCCTAATTGGGATAATGTGACTCTGAAAAGGGCACATATCAGATTTTCTAATAGATTTTAGGTTGAATTCTAGAAGGAAAACATTAACTGAAGGGTTATATTAGTCTCTCCCCTCTGCTCTACACATAGGCATGTTCCTTGTACTGTGAACAAGGAGTTCATACCAGAAACTAAACTAGAATATTCTCCTTTTCAGTGCTACCACCCTGCTCTCTCCTTTCACCATCAAACATCTGGTGTCCACAGGAAACATATTTTTAAATGGCAATAACCACAGGTTTTTGTTTAAGCAATGTCTTCCTAGAATTGTGCTAATCATTGCTGAAATGTGTCAAATTCTCCCACTTCTCTTTCTAAAAAGGTTTTTAAAAACCATATCCACAAATGAACTCTATTTAGAGTGGAACACAGTTGAGAAATGAAGAATATTGAATCTCTAACATTGATTTCTTAGTTGATTAGTTTCTCTACTACTTCACAGCTCTACCTTGCATGGGTAATGATTTATTTAGTAATTTATCAGATTTGAGTTGGAGGTGGAGTTGACAACTAGGCCAGCCACATCCAGGTTAAGTGTTCTCTTTATTAGGCTATATTAGCGTTATTTTGTTGTAAATGAATGCAAACATATGGTCCATTTGAAGAGCATTTGGGCAGTATCTAGTTACAAGCTGGAATTAAGGAGAGAGAGCCAACAAATAATGAATGCTACCAGGCACAACACTGCCATGCATAAGAGTGAAGAGATAGGTGGCATCTGACCATGATAGATAAAGACAGGGCTTTTTTAATCTAAAAGATGCAGGAGCTGTTTTAAAACAATGAGTTTAGCTAGTGGCAAAGTGGCACTGGTGTCATTATTTTGGCTCTGCTTTTTGGTTGACACATTCATGGAATAGGATGAGGGGATATGGGAGTCTTATAAAGGGGGGGAATGGGGGTTGAAATGTGATATTGCATGAAATCTCCATATTTGTTTTTTTTATTTCTATGAAGCCAAATGTTAAGTCTTTGTTCTTCTTAAATTATATATTTGGGGTTTGCTCTTAATGGGGAATAGATGGCTGAGAGACAATTTTTATGTACTTTTGGGTCAGAAACTCTTTGCTTTGTTCCAAAATCCAAATTTCTTAATGATTCTTCATTATCTTTGACAAACTAACCTCCCCAAAGATTATAGATGGCCATATAAATTTGATATAGATAAAAATATAAAATGATGTCTTGTGTACTTCGTGCTTTTGAAACTTTTAATGATGACTTTTTGACATGTTTATTGTTTTATATCTTTGTTGTATGCCACTCAGAGTCAGTTCTTGTGAAATGGGTGGTTGTATAAATTTTGTGTATATGTGTGTGTATGCCTATGTATCTAGTTATCTATAACCACATGTTCATTCTGATGTATGCTATAAAAATCAGTTGATAGTCCTGTAAGAAGACAGACCAGAATGCTGTAAGAAGACAGACCAGAATGAAGAAAGTGAGTGTTCAAGGAAAGTTGAGAGTTTAGCAAAAGTACAGAATCAGTATTTAAGTTTTAAATTATTAGTATCAAATTTATTTGCCACTCATCTCATAGTTCAAAGTGACTCCGAGCGTCTTATATCCAATATCTAAACAATGTACAAATATCAAAACAATTATAAATATAACAACAAATTAAAAATTACATTAATTAAAACAAACTAATAACATGGGTTTGGAGGGGAAAGGTGAAGGACCTTCTCTGTTAATTCACCAACCATCTCCAGCCAACAGCTTCTTCTTCAGGACCTCATGCCAGCTGGCATAGCCAGCTTTTCCTGAAAGCTAATGAGAGCGGGTGGATCTTATCTCCATGGCAGATGTTCCAGAGGGCAGGGACCGTGGCACCCAAGGCTCTTTTCCTGGATCCCACCAGATACTATTCCTTGGTCGATGGGATCTGCATAGGCCCCTTCTGCCAGCATGAATGGGGCATGCTTTCCACTGGAGAAAGATGGTTCCATTGATATCCTGGATATGTGCCCTAAAGCAGGGGTCCCCAACCTTTCGGACCTCAGGGACCACTAAATTCATAATTTTAAATCCCGTGGACCACTCATATGATCTGCTTATTGACTGGCTGGGTGTGACTGGGTGGGTGTGGCCAACTCAACGTCACTCTCGTCGAGGACCTCTACTCACCCCTCCCCTCCCACCCACTCTTCGCCTCCCCACCTGAGCTCCTTAGGCCCCCTACAGGAAGCAGTTGTTGGAGCTAAGCAGCCACAAAACAGCTGGCTCAGTTCAAATTGGATCTGGCCGAGAAGGAGGCTCACCAGAAGCACCTCACTGAGGACTAGGAGCATAGGCTTTCCAAGCAGAGGGAAGACCTGCATGAGTACAAGGCCAGGTGCCAACACCTGGAGGCTCAGCAGGCTGAGATGGTCAGCCAGTTCCAGGCCATGATGCAGTCCCACTGGAACAAGGCCCTCTGGTTCTCTGCCACCAGCGGCACTTCCTTCCAGCCTTCACCCAAAGCCCTGCACCAGGAGGCCGAAGCAGACCCCAAGTTGGAATGTCTGTCCCCCTCCAACCCACAAAAATACCCCGAAGGAGGTCTCTGCAGCAACACAACTGTTCATTGCACGTATCTGTCCCAGGGGCCATAGTTTGAGGACCCCTGATTTAGTGCAATATATAAAAAAGCAAATTTTTCTGCAGACCACCAAAATTTTCTTGTGGACCACCAGTGGTCCACGGACCACCAGTTGGTGACTGCTGCCCTAAAGAGTTTAACACAGAAGTGATTTTTCCATATGTTTTTGGAAGGGCCACTTGTAAAGATTATGTTAGGTAGCTCTTACTTCCTATTGTCAGTTTCAGCATCAATACAGGTACAACAGTTCAGTTAGTGACTGTTCGAAGTTACAGAGGCGTTGAAAAAAGTGACTTATGACCATTTTTCACACTTACGACTGTTGCAGCATCCCCATGGTCATGTGATTAACATTTGGATGCTAGACAACCGATTCATATTGTCCCGGGGTCATGTGATCACCACCTTCTGACAAGCAAACTCAATGGGGACACCAGATTCACTTAACAACCATGTTACTAATTTAACAACTGCAGTGATTCACCTAACAAACATGGCAAGACAAGTTGTAAAACGGGGCAAAACTCACTTCACAAATTTCTCACTTAGCAACATAAATTTTGGGCTCAATTGTTGTGGTCATAAATTGAGGACTGCCTGTAATAAAAATGCTAATTGTAATCTCATTCCACGGAAGATTCCAGACCTGCTATCTTCCAGGTTTTGAGAAAGGTTGCTACCCAGTGCATGCTCAAAATGGATCCCATGTGCAGAAAATTACAGGTAGACTTCGACTCTT